TCTGGTTTTTCTCTGAGTGTTCGTCTTTTTGTTGTTGTCGGTCTCTTGGGGAGATTAAGCGTTGGAACTCGAACTCTCTTTTTGGTTGGAGAGAGCTGTGGCGTTTCCCTACTGCCCCGTCGCCATCTTGGTCCCCCCTTGAGAGACTGTCTTGCTAATATTTATTCCCCAGGTTGGCCTCGAACCTCCAACCTCTACCAAGGATTACAGGGGTGAGTCACTGCACTGGGCCAGGAGAGAGGATTTCTGTTACAGTGTTTGATTTTATGGTATTGGTTTATAGGTCAGGTTTTCTCTCTTGCTATAAAAAATAAATTTTTCTATTTTTGTATTGTGAAGAATAAAACCCTCCTTTATGGTTTCTGGGAGGGAGAGGAACTAGAATGGGTAGTATTTTTGAAATACAGAGAAAAACAAGCTCTGAAATTGACAAGTCTAGAAGCAAACTGAACAATGACAGTCTCTGACAGATGGCATGATCAGAGACAGAACATCTTATCTTTGCCAGTAGATAGAAAATAGTTAAAAAGAATAAACTGGGGAATCACAGAGGCTTTGAATATGATCAAATCGCATTACTTGCCTGTACAGAAATATTACAATGAAACCCTTTGGTACAATTAAAACACACTTATAGTATGGACTATGGCATAAAATTGAAGTATCACGATTAAGTTCTTATGACTGGATTCCTAAAAGTATTTTCAATGGTAGTATAAATGGAGGGTTTTACTTCTATTGCTTTTTTTATGGTAACTATAGGCAACAAAGAAAAATTTCCAAACTGTCAAATGATAGACTTCAGCATTCTGGACAGACACTTTTAACTTAAATAGGTGGCTCACCAGATCATAGAAGGCAGAGAGTTAATGGAAACATCCAGATTGTGATGAAGTAGTTGGTCTACTTTAACTCTACAAGCTTTCTTTACCTCTTTATTTTTCTTCCCTCTCTCCCTCCCTAACCCCCCTCTCTTTCTTTCTTCTTTCTTTTGTGCTGAGGATAGAATCTAGAGCCTTGCGCATACTAATCATGGTTCTACCACTCAGACTAGTTCTAGAAATTTAAAAGCACAAAGGGGCTGGGGAGGTGGCTCAGTGGTAGAGTGCTTGCCTTGCATGCATGAAGCCCTGGGTTCGATTCCTCAGCACCA